TTTTTATATATTCATTTGAGGGCAGATTGTTTCAAACTGCTCTATCATTTGTTTTCCTTGAATCTTTCTCCATTTCTAAGTTGTACATGGAAGTTGAAAAGACTTGGTTGGAGTTCACATAAGAGAGCATTTCCTTCCATGAAAGCTGTTGTGTCTATTAATATTGGCCATTGGACGAAAAGACATTTGGAAACTTGGTACTTTAAAATGGTTATTTTCCACGATTGTGGAATTCTCGGTATTCTTAAAGATCAATGATTTAAATAGTGACCATCTTTCTGAGGCCAACTTAAAACTTAACTTGCTTAGTTTTTTCATTGCATGAGATGAAAAGGTTAGGAAACAATAGTACAACACTGGTAATTAAACTAAATAGAAAAATATATATATAGGTTAGTAGCCATATCATCATTTTGCTAAAATAATCATTGAGATTATTTTTGTCCTATTTTCTCAGTGGGGACCCCTCGTTGGTGTGTGCCATGCATCTCATGGGGAGGAAAGCCCAGGGGTGCAGCTCTTGCCATAGGACCTGGAGGAGGGTCTTGGGGAGTGGAGGGCAGGTCTGGGTGTGATTGCAGACATGGGGAAGGTGCTGTGTGGTCCTGGGCTGGACTGTGAAGTGTAGGTGGCAGGGAAAGGCGCAGGGAGGGAGGGCGGCTCGTGAGGGATGGGCAGGCTGGGGTGCACAGTGCCTGTGGGAGGACACTGGCTCACCCCTGCCCACACTTTGGCACATGTTCAAAGCTCTTCAGAGACTGATCTTGGGTGTTTTATACCTGCTCTTTTTATTGTAAAAAGTGCGGCCTCTCCCTTTAAATTTTGTTCTCTGTTGGAACTTTGTGCACTCTTCCCCCACCTGCCTGCTTTCTGAAGTAACAGCTGAAGCTTCCTCTGAGCACCCTCCTGCTGCAGTGCGCTCCTTTCCTGCTGCCTTTCCTGTGCCGGCAGCTCTCTTTTCTCAGACCATCCTTAGCGACTCTTCCAGCATAGCCTGGTGGGTGTGCTGTCTGTTCCCTTCTCTCCCTGTGTGTGGCCCATCTTGTTGAGAGCCGGAGTCTCTCCTGGGAGTCCTACGTGAGCTGTGAAGTGCCATTTGTCACATCGCATCTGCCCACTTGTCTGTTCACCATGAGACTAAACTCTATCAGGGCTCAAGTGGGAATCGGTTGAGTGTCTGAAAAAGTCTGTGTAAATAAATTTAAATACTTGAGATGAGCTTATTCTTTAAAGAAACTTTCAGGTAATATTTAATATAATGAAGCATTTGCTTAATGTAAGAAATACTATAATTTGTTTTGTAAATAAAGATAATTATATATTCTAGCGTATGCTATATGCATAGAGCAGAGTGCTGTGCAGATTCGAGGTGAGACGCACTGAGGCTTGGCCCCTTTTCAAATTAGGCTGCCGTGATACACAATTAGAATTTAATGAACTGTGAAATGCTAACCCTACATGGAAACTCAGGGTTAGTTATTCTGAACCGTGTGCCTCAGAACCCCGTCTTGAGTTCGGATGTATGTGGTGCTGAGGCTAAGTCCTGCATGTTAGGGTTCTTTTCTCATAATACTCTATTTTGTGTCCTACATGTGACATTGATAAAGTAAAAAAGAAAACAAAACGTGTTTTATGATAACATTTGTCGTATAATCACTGTGCTTCGGAAGTTATATGAATTATTTCTGGGAGGACAATACTGTTATTTTTCAAAAGGGATAATCTAAACAACTTGTTCTCGTTGGGGGCTTTGGAGTTGATTGTGTCGGAACCTGTCTCTCCCTTCTGGAGGGTGAGTGCTAGTTACATTCCCTGAAGTGAGCGGAGGTGGCTTTATGTCTCCGTATGGTTTCTAAAATGCATTTCTGTTTTGGAAGTAAGTGGAGAGAGGAAAATGGGACTGGAGAGAAACATAAAATAGTTCTTCTTCAACGTTCATTTTCTTTCTAAACAGGGAATTTTGAAAAACAAGTGGTCAATTCTCTACCTCTTGCTGAGCCTTAGTGAGGACCCGCGCAAGCAGCCAAGCAAGGTACGTGGCTCTGCCCAGCAACCTGGCGTCCTGTTGGGGCATTTATACCAAATTTTGATAGGAATTAACTACAGGTGAGAAAGTAGCAGGAGCAAAGCAGAAAGCTTACTTGATCCTGGAAGGTCAAGGGCTTTCATTTTCCTTTTGTTTTTCTCTTCTCATTTCTTAATAGCTTTGAAATGTACCATTGCATCATGCACATTAGACCAGGTACCCCTGAATACCCTCCCTCCTCCCATATCCTCCCTGTCCTCTCCTCTCTCTCTCTCTCTTCTACTTCCTGGACTATAGGTATGTTTTGCCATTCATATGAGTGTGTAGGTGTTATATATTGATTTCATAGTGGTATTGAGTACATTGGATACTTTTTTCCCCATTCTTCATACTTTACTAGGAAGTATATGTTTAAGCTCCCTCTAGGTAAACATAAAGGATGTGAAGTCTCCATCTTTTTTATGGCTGCATGGTATTCCATGGTGTACATATACCACAATTTGTTAATCCATTCATGGGTTGATGGGCACTTGGGATGTTTTCATGTCTTGGCAATTATGAATTGGGCTGCAATAAACATTTTGGTGCAAATGTCTTTGTTCTAAAATAATTTTTGATCATCTGGGTATATACCTAGTAGAGGAATTGTAGGATCGAATGGTAGGTCTACTTTTAGTTCCTTGAGTGTTCTCCAAACTTCTTTCCAAAAAAGGTCGTATTAGTTTGCATTCCCACCAGCAGTGTAGAAGTATTCCCGTCTTTCTGCATCCATGCCAGCATCTGTAGTTTTGGGATTTTTGTGATATGGGCTAATCTTACTGGAATTAGATGATATCTCAAAGTGCTTTTGATTTGCATTTCTCTGATGATTAAGGATGATAAGCATTTTTTCATGTATTTGTAGGCCATGTGCCTGTCTTCCGCAGAGAAGTTTCTGTTCAGGTCTCTTGCCCACATAGAAATGGGGTTATTTGTTCTTTTCTTATTGATTAGTTTAAGTTGTCTGTAGATTTCTAGTTATCAGACCTTAGTTGAAAGCATAACCTGCAAAAATCTTCTGCCATTCTGAAGGTTGTCTGTTTGCTTTACTTACTGTGCACTTGGCTGTGCAAAAGCTTTTTAGTTTGATCAGATCCCAGTAATGTATTGTTGGTGTTGCTTCAATTGCCCGAGGGGGTCCTCCTCATAAAATGTTCTCCCAGGCCAATTTCTTCAAGTATTTTCCCTGCACTCTCTTCATATTTTTATAGTTTTATGTCTTAAGTTTAAATATTTTATCTAGTGAGAATCAATTTTTGTTAATGATGAAAGGAGGGAGTCCAGTTTCAGTCTTCTACAGGTCCCCAGCCAGTTCACCCAGCACCATTTGTTAAATAGGGAGTCTTTCCCCCACTGAATGTTTTTGATAGGCTTGTTGAAGATCAAATGACGATAAGTAGCTGGGTTCTCTATTCTGTTCCATACATCTCCCGCTTTCTTTTTGTGCCAGTACCAGGTGTTTTGATTACTATAGATTTAGTTATTTTTTGTTTTTTTATTTTTTAATTTTTTGCAGTTTTGGCTGGGGCTGGGTTTGAACCCACCACTCCTGATATATGGGGCTGGCACCCTACTCCTTGAGCCACAGGTACTGCCCAGATCACTATAGATTTATAATATAGCCTGAAGACTGGTATGTGATACCTCCTGATTTGTTCTTATTTCTGAGTAATGTATTTGCTATTTGAGGTTTTTTCTGATTCCATATAAAACAAAGTACTATTTTTTCAAGTTCTTTAAAGTATGACAATGGTGCTTTAATAGGGAATGCATTAAATTTGTAGATTGCTTTGGGTAGTATGGACATTTTAACAATGTTGATTCTTCTCAGCCATGAGCATGGCATGTTTTTCCATTTGTTAACATATTCAGCTATTTCTTTTCTCAGAGTTTCATATTTCTCTTTATAGAGATCTTTCACATCCTTTGTTGGGTAAATTCCCAGATATTTCATCTTCTTTGGCACTACTGTAAAAGGAATAGAGTCCTTGACTATATTTTCAGTTTGACTATTGTTGGCATATATAAAAGCTACTGATTTGTAAGTATTAATTTTTGTATCCTGAGATGCTGCTGTATTCCTTGATCACTTCTAAGAGTTTTGAAGTTGAGTCCCTGGGATTTTCCATGTACAGGATCATGTCATCAGCAAAGAGTGAGAGTTTGATCTCCTCTGATCCTATTTGGATATGCTTGATCACCTTCTCTTGCCTGATTGCGATGGCTAAGTCTTGCATTACTATGTTAAATAGCAGTGGAGACGGTGGGCATCCTTGCCTCGTTCCTGATCTGAGTGGAAATGTTTGCAGTTTAACACCATTCAATATGATATTGGCTGTGGGTTTGCTGTAGATGGCCTCTATCAATTTAAGAAATGTCCCTTCTATGCCTGTTTTCTTAAGCGTTCTGTTCATGAAAGGATGTTGGATATTATCAAAGGCTTTTTCTGCATCAACTGAGAGAATCATATGGTCTTTGTTTTTTATTTTATTGATATGATATATTATATTTATAGATTTGCATATGTTGAACCAGCCTTGTAACCTTGGAATAAAACCAACTTGATCATGGTGCATAATTTTTTTGATGTGTTGTTGAATTCTGTTTTGTAAGATCTTATTGAATATTTTTGCATTGATATTCATTAGTGATGTTGGTCTATAATTTTCTTTCTTTCTTGGATCCTTTCCTTGGTTTGGGTATCAGGGTGATATTTGCTTCATAGAATGTGTTGGGAAGTACTCCTTTTTCTATACTTTGGAAACGGTTGTGTAATGTAGGTAGTAGTTCCTCTTGAAGGATTTGATAGAATTTGGATGTGAAGCCATCTGGTCCAGGACTTTTCTTTTTTGGGAGATTTTGTATTGTTGATGCTATTTCAGTGATTGATACAGGTGTATTCAAGGTTTCTCAATCTTTCTGGGTTGAATCTAGGAAGGTGGTGTGCTTTCCTTTTTTTTTTTTTTTTTTTTAGAGCATTTTTGTCAGTGATGTATTTCGCAGTTAGTCAGATGTAACAATGAGTGATTAAATAGAGAAATGAATTGTTATTTTGAAAATGTTTGCTTTTCAGTAAGGTTGCTAATTCCAGCACAGCCGGGCAGTGCTTTGTGAGCTGGCCATCCCTTGAGGAGTGTCTTGTGATGTCAGTTATTGTTACGAATGTTCACAACTGCTACATGGGGAAGCTTTGTTGTCACCTGTGTTCAGTGTTTGTACTCTGTGGCATTTCAAAGCGTGATTTGCTGTTCCATGTCCTCAAGTGTGGTGTAATAAAATATTTTCCTTTAGACACTTGAGTACTAGAAAGTTGAAGAATATGGGTGAGAGTTGTACTTATCTCTAAAGCCTTAGCCTGAGCAATCACTAATAATATAAATAGGAGTAGTAGTATAAATATATAATCATTTTATAGCCGTGCCAAACTTTTAAAAATTATGAGTTTGCTTGAATTTTGAATAAATAAGGTGTTTAATTATTAGACATTGTAATAGTTGGAGTACAGAAAATTTTCAAAAACTTTATCACTTTTACCATATTTTAAAAGCATGCCAACTAGTTTATTATTTAATAAAGCATGAAATATAAACTCAGTCATAGGAATGGAAGAAAAATCTGAATAGAAATTATCTTTGTAGATTTGGGGAAAATGTCTTGTAATTTCCTATATCTGTATCCCTGGTGCATTTTTTATTCTAGGTTTCTAGCTATGCCGCATTATTTGCTCAAGCATTACCACGAGATGCTCATTCAACTCCCTTCTACTATGCCCGGCCACAGACCCTCCCTCTGAGTTACCAGGACCGGAGCACCCCATCAGCCCCAAGCTCGGGCAGCATGGGCAGCAGCGGCATCAGCAGCGTCAGCCTGTGTGGCCTCAGTGGCCCAGCGCCAACACCACAGCCTGTCCTTCCGGGGTAAGGACAGGCTGACCCGCACATATAGTTTCTTCCCAGAGGAAACAGAAATGCCACGAGCCCCTAACTGGGCACGTGTGTTCACTGACAGTATCAGGAGGCCTTGGATGAGCATCAGGAGGCCTTGGATGAGCTGGGCCTTGTTCCCACTGGGCAGTGTCCATTGTCTGCTCTGTCTCAAGGCCTTGTGCTCAGTGCTGCATCCCAGTGGAATTCTTTCTACTTTTTAATGGTTAGAAGTGACTGTGAAGACTTGGCTGGCTCTCAGCTGTCGGGGGTATGCATGCTGGGGGGCCTGCAAGGTGAGTGTACAGGCCCGTGGTCTGGAGGTGACAGCCAGCTCTCTGTTCTCACACGTTTCTCAGTGAACATTGGCCTCTTCATTTGTGTATGTTTTTCTCCTCCTTGGATTCTTTAAAAAAATTGGAAAGTGAAAGTATATAAGGTTGAACTATCCTCCAGTGCCAACATCTTTAAGGATTGTGACATTTTAGTGCACATGAATTAAGATGATGAAAAGCAGGATGCCCAGTGAAGATGTTACATACTTGATCACTTACTATGATGTCAAAACACACGTCCAGGCATGTTTGAGGAAATACAGAATGTGTGGTTGAGAATAAGCAGGTGCTGAAGAGCCAGGTGCCACTGTCGTTAATGTTTGTTCTTGAGTACACAGTTCCACCTGTAGATAAACAGGTGGCTTTTCTTTTTGCTGTAATTGTTTCCTGGAAATCACATTAAAACAGAAGATTATAAAGCGGATACTTTCCCAGAAATTTTTGGTCACCAAGGATTCAGCGTTAAATAAATGATGTTTTCCATATGAGTGTGATGGGATTATAAATCATTTTGTGAGTTATGAGACCATGTTCAAGCTGTTAGAAAGCAGAATGTATGTTCTACACACGTGGGTCATCAGTGCTCAGTACAGAGCACGTCATGCCTTTGAGGAGGGCGTTCCACAGACTACACCTGCAGCTGTGCTCGCAGGAAGGGCATGCTGCCACCTCATTCTCTCTTTGAATTGGTAGTAATTTTTCGCTATGAGCTGTGTAGACAACTTTGAACTGAGACAATCATCTAGTATTATTCTCTTAAATTTAGAACTATACTAGAAGACACAGTTTTAGTAAATGTTGACTTTTTTCCCTCTGAAAATACTATAGAATAAGGGTGGTTTCAGATTTTTCCTCTTCTCTGTCTCTGTGAGTGGACTGTAGATGGACCTACTGGTGATGGCACCAGTACGAAGTCAGAGCTCTGGGCCTGGAAGTAGTTCAGATTCTCAATTTTGTGTTTCACAGTCCCAAGAAGTGTTATTTTTGCCACGATTGTCAATGCATATGTTAGAAATTAGTTATCAGGTTCTTAGATTTTTCAAAAAACAAGGTTGACCTATTCTCAAGATTATTCAAAAACCATCTTGACCTTGAATGTGCATTTGCCTTAGGTTTTGTATGTTTGTACATGCTAGAGCTTAATAGAAAATTGCAATATTTCTTTTCCTAGTTAGCACCCTGAAATGAAGGCTAGAGACACATGAGGACAGGCCCCTGGGCAGTTTGCAAGGGGTGGGTGCCTCTGTGCAGTCAGTGTGCGTGGGAGGTGTGCAGTGTGCTGTGGGAGGTGTGCAGTGTGCTGTGGGAGGTGTGCAGTGTGCGGTGGGAGGTGC